AAAGACCCATATTACCTGGTGCCTAAAGCAAGGAGAAAAAAACGTATGAAACAATAAAAATGAATGTTTGATTCAGGAATGTTGCTTGTAACCTTTTTGGTCTGGATTAAATAATCAATTATTTCCTCAAATGATATGATTCTTTAACTGCAGTTGTTCGGCTCAAAATGCAAAAGATCTTGTATTTCTGAGGAAATTATTGGTCATGTATTATGTTCCTATTTTATTGTTTGTGATGAAGAAATTAGTTCCTTTCAAATTGCAACTGAAGGCTTCAAATTGTACCTTAATAGCCTTCAGAATGCCATTGTATTAACTCATGAACCAGAAGATAATAATAATCGATTGCCGTTTTTAGAAATATTGTTGAACCGAAGAGATAATGGAACTATAAAGCGTTCAGTTTATAGCAAGCCGACATGGACTGGACAGTACCTACATTTCAGCAGTTTTTGTCCACTGCAATATAAAAGAGATTTGGTAAAATGCTTCTTCAATAGGGCACAAAGGATTTGCACCACGGATACATTTGACGACGATGCAAAATTCTTAACTGAAGCATTGATTTCAAATGGCTATCCGCTAAAGTTCATTAATAGGTGTAGAGATCAGTTAAGACAAAAACAAGTTTTTGATTCTGCTGAAAAGAAAAAGCTTTATATCACTTTACCATTTAGAGGTGAAGCAAATGGTCTAATATTAAGACAGAGACTAAAAGCAGCCATAGAGAAAACATACAACTCTGATAAACTGATTATCATTGAAAAGACTAAGCCCATGATTTCACATAAACCTAAACTGTGCTCGAATGATTACATCACATCCCACTGCATTTATCAATTTACATGTTTGTGTGGAAACACATACATAGGGAGGAGTAATCGGACTTTGTTATCAAGGGTTGTGGAACATGTACCTAAGTGGCTTCAAAATCAGTTAACGTCAGATGAGCCGATTAACGTTGGAAATAGGAAATCATGTTCATCGATGGCCAAACACATAATTGAGACAGGGCATAAGATTGACATCAAGACAGCCTTCAAGACATTGTATAGAAATGTTGAAGAACGAATTTTGAAGTTTATGTAGGCCTTGGCTATTAGAAAATTAAAACCCCCCTTATGTGTGCAGAAACAATTTGTCATAACCTTGAATTTACCTTGGTAATCTTTAAGCCTAGGGTAATGTGACAATTTTCCTATCCGTTATCATTCTTTTCATATTACGTTAATTTTCTCTCTCCTTTATTTACAATTATCACCTTATGTCTACTATTTGAACTTTTATTTAATTGGCCTTTTATTCATCTTCATATAAAATGCCTTGACAAGTGTGGTATGTGTGACCAGATTGTTCGAAATGTATAGCGCAAATACATCACATTTTTCAGATCAATTACGTCTACTCACTGTTCTATCAAATTATGTGACTGACGAGAAAGCACGAAATGGTACTATCTCACAAAATATGTCTTCTTATTTCTCTATTCAAAGCGTAATTAATCTGAAAAATATGATGTATTTGCGTTATACATTTCGAAAACAAACTGATCACACATATGCATACTTGTCAAAGCATTTTATTTGAAAATTAATAAAAGGTCAATGAATACCGAAAATAAACTTAACTATTTTCCTCCGGGTACCAAGACGAACTAACATTTGTACGATTTTTGTATAAGTGTGCATGTCTACCACTTCACATATATTGGGAGTCTTATCAGTGCTGATGGCCTGGTGTATAACGAAATCTCGGCACCAATGCAGAAGGTCTGATTGGCTTTTGCGAACTTACATCACTTATGGAGTAGGCGAGATCTCCATTTACTAACCAAAGGACGTGTATACTATGCAGTAGTTGGCTCCGTCCTACTATACGGGTATGAAACATGGCCAGTGAGAGTAGAGAATATTCGTAGGTTACTGGTTTTCGATCATAGGTGTTTCCGAAGCATTACTCATGTATCCTGTGACAATCGAGAACAGGATAGAACAGGATATTGGGGAAGGATGGCAAATCTATAAATGAAGTAGTAAATCTTCATCAGCTAAGGTGATCAGGATATGTGTTAAGTATGCCTCAACGGGTGTTGTCTGATTTAGGGATAGGCTGGGAAGATGCTAGGAATGGCCAGACCAAAACATGACACAAATCCATGGCCATTGACACGTGAACCGAGCCATGTTATTGGATGCAGACAAGCTGGTTGGGGTCCACGAGATGATAGTTGCCGATGGTTAGAGACCTTGGACGACATGGCTCAAAATCTTTTGCAGTGGCGCAGGTGAATCCATTCAGTGTTCCCTTGAACTCTAATATTCTGAATTCCTCATGATGTTTTGTCTCTTTTTAGAAATATTTGATTGGATTATACTTCTCGAATGATACATCTCACCGCTGATCTTTCTCGGCACTCCAAATACTTCTACAACCTTGGCTACCATGAGATTTGAATTGACAATGTGATCTATGTGCTGTTATGATATGACAACTAGAACTGATGCACATAGGTACGAAATTCTACGTTCGTGCTTACTGACTGACGGACTGACATCCTTATCTGAAAATAAGCTTATGAATTTAAATGTATAGATTCGCCCATTGTCAGCACACAGTTCACTAAGGATCAAAATGAATATTAAACATGTCATTTTATTATGATATACTTTACATTACAGGACATTCTTTCCATGAAATTAAATTCTTCCGTACTTCTAACTGAATAAAAACATAAAAGTTGATATTTTCAGTATTAGTACAAGTGACTTTTTGTAGTTTTACACATCTGAAATCATCAATCAATCATTGTTAGACCACCATTAGAAGAAACCTGGAAGCACTGGAAGGCCGTTTCGTCCTAGTATGGGACTCATCAGTGTCAGTGAGCATCCGCGACTCCTGCACCTCGCAAGATTTGAACCCTGGACCTTCGGTATTGTGCGTGAAAGCCTAACTGTCGGACCACTGGGACCTCACCTATTTGTCTTTTGTAGTAGTTACTGCCTACACCTGACAGGGCTGAACTCCACTGGTCACGTATTCTCAACTAGAACTCCGAGAATTTCCTTACGAATCTAGTCACTAGTGAGCACTTTTACGATATTTTCGGGCAGAGTTTTGGAGGTTTGTGTTTTTACTCATTTATATTATGAACACAAATCCAGTCTATATGTTAAAGGCTAATTATAACAAGAAGTGAATTCAACTAAAAACTATAAAAAAATAGTCAACTTACTTCTTCTGTATTCATATACAAGAAACCAAATGAACCCAAACGATAATTCATTGATGCAACGATAATATTTTGTCTGGCAGCTAAAAATCTAGCATCATATACACTCAGTGTTGCTGTGCCCATATAAAAGCTACCACCATAAATCCATAACTGTTTAATTTTTAAATTGTTTTTTTGTGTTTTTTTTTTCAGAAAACAAATAATAATAATAAGGAAATAAGTAGTATATATATATTTTTTTGATACATGAATGCCAATGCATAGTTGTGATTTATTATACTACTGATATCAATCATGACAATGTTATTTGATATCTTTGTATTGGAATATTTATGAAGTTATTTAAACAACTGATTATTGGAACAATTGAACACCTAAAATAGATGTGCGCCACATAAATCAATGAATTGGCGTATGGATTAAGATACTTCACGGATACTAGAACTAAAGTAAATTGTTTTCTTAGAGGAGTCACTTTCCGAACCTTTGATCGAAAAGGTCTAATCTATAAGGTAATGGAATAACGTCAGGAGATGCAGTCCCATTTTAGCCGGTAACCGACAGTAGGTTCATACGTCGTGTGTTCTCTCTGGATAGTGGAACACATATATACAACAATGATGCGGGATGAGAGTTTTTTAACTTCCCTCAGTAGATCCTTCACACCTACTAACTCGGTTTGCACCTTAGTCGCACATTCGCTTTTCATTGTCTTAATATCATAAGAGGCCCCTAAGTTATGCGAAGGTAGTGAATAGGTCATCCTTGTCAGTGGTTATAGATTTATGCGACAATGATTTTGACTAATGTAAATGCATTCATTAGGCTTATGATTACTAAAATCAAATCATTAATGAACACAATAAAGATTTTTTATCGTTCAATCAAACCGTTCGATTGACTAAGTGATTGTTTGACAGGAACAAATATTCATGAAATGTAATATGTTTAGTTTATGTAAAGAAAAACTGTTGGGGATGTTAGATCCCCAGAACTCGCTTGATAAATGCCTTATTTTGGATTTCACGTTTGCCAGCATGGGCTGATCAGTTGACCTTGATTGAGATTTCATTTCCCACCAGCAAAATCCATGGCTATGATTGGCTGCTGTTTATTTTAGTGTGCTATTGTCGTAACTGTTCCAAGGACGTTTCTATGATGTATAAATAAACGAGAGTTGTGTGCTTGATTGTGTATTGTGTGATTGCTGGGTGTTTGTAGAATATACTTTCTAAGCTTACAAAGTATTCTATCTTCAGCTTGGGATTCAAGGTAGCCTATCTGGACGCTGATTGATTGTCTCGTTCGAATTTATCGACTAAGTGACGTACATAACATGTATATATATATATATATATATATATATATATATATATATATACATGGTTAGAATAGTCTAGAGAAATAGTGATTGAGAATCAGTCAGTTAAAAATCAAAAAAATAAGTTTATGATGAATGAATTACTGGACACCAACTAACCATAACTGCAAGTTTTTCTTTTGAATTTAAATGACTACTATTGGATTGTTTTGAAGGTACCCAAATATTTAAGAAAAGACAATCTTCAGACATTGGAGTATTTGGTACCCACATTCTAGCAGCTGCTGAATTCTAAAAATCAAGAACGAAGACGATTAAAAAGAAACGTTTATTTTTTGAATTTCCTGCTGGAGGTTTCTTGGAAATATGCTCATTTCCATGTTGAGTAAACATGTCGGATTTAGATATGACTTCCTTTTCTTTCAGAAGTTGTATTTTTACGGCAACGGTTAGACGTTTCTATCAACAAAATACCCTGTGAAGTATATCTTCTTACTGGTTAATAATAACTTCTTAAAATCGCTTTTAAATAGGTTGTAACACTTGACATAAATTACTTTTTTTCAGATGTTCAGTGCTGATATTAAACACATTCAACAGCCATAATTAACGGTTGATCATCGTAGATGGTATTGAGTAAAATAAGTCTCAGTGACACAACCGAATTGATTTTATATCTTCTAAATTATTCATATTGAATTTATAGTTATTTTGAAGTTGAAACTAATCTTAATTCTTTTATTCCTAACAAGATAATTTTCTACTTCTCTGTACTGATTAAAGGTGTGGCACCTTGTGCTGATGTATATGGACTCAAGGTAGTTGGTTGATAGTGGTTATTTTCAGGCAGAGCTTTGGAGGTTTGTGTTTTTACACATTTGAAATCATCAATCAATCATTGTTAGACCACCATTAGAAACCGGGAAGCACTGGACGGCCGTTTCGTCCTGCTATGGGACTCATCAACAGTGCGCACCCACGATTCGAACCCAGGACCTTCTGTATTGTGCGCGAACACCTAACCATCGGACCACTGGGCCGGAATCCAATGGTGTTAATGTCTAACTCTGATTGATGAGTCCTATACCAGAACGAAACGGCCGTTCAGTGCCTCCAGGTTTCTAATGGTGGTCTAACATTGATTGATTGATGATTTCAAATGATAGTGGTTAGCCAGATTTTGTCAATTGTCTTTTTGAATAATGATCGTAATACACAAGATACCTGAACATCAAATGCTGTTGAACTGCTTAGATTATTCACAACATAATAAATATTCTATTTATTGATATACTCATAGTGGTATTAGTAAAATCATTACGTTTCATCTAGCATTATGAAATGAAATCATACGAAAATCTTACGACAGATTAAAATGTAAGATGATGCATGAAAGACTAGTCATAGATTCGTTCTAAGTGAAAACAGATGTCAGATAAGGTTGCCTACTCTCACCCTTTCTCGTTCTCCTGATGGTTGACTGGATTATGAAGACATTAAAATCTGAGGGAAAGTACTGGGTACGGTGAACAGGCCGGATGCAGCTAGACGACTTGCACTTTGCAATCGATCTAGCTCTTTTGTCCCACACCTGACAACAAATGCAGAAGTAGCACTCAACATACACAAGGGGAGAAGCAAGATCCTTCAATACAACATGACATACACCAACTAAATCACAATTCATGAAAAAACACTGAAAGATGTGGAAACCTATACATATCTGGGCAGTACCATTAATAAACAAGACGCATCTGATGCATATATGAAGAGGGGGATAGGCAAAGCAAGAGCAGCATTTTTACAGTTGAAGAATATCTGGAACTCCAAACAACTGTCGAAGATGTAAAAAAACTTTAAATGTCTGTGCAGCATCATTACTGAGTATGGTGGATCTGATGAAGGTGTGAAGGTGCGGATTGGTAAAGCAGTGTCAGGATTTCTACAATTAAAGGACATCTACTACTCAAAACAAATGTCCAGAGACACCAAAGATATAATTTTTAATTTGAACGTCAAGACAGTTCTACTGTATGGGGTGGAAACTTGGAGAACAACGAAAGCCATCATCCACAAGATAAAAGAGTTTATTAACAGTTGTCTACTCAAGATACTCACACATATTCACATCATATTCATCGCTTAAAATCAATAATTATTTCACAAAAAGGGTTACTTGAAGTATACAATCTCCTATCATAAGGACTGCATTGTACCTACTTGAAACATTGTATCTTTTGGTTGTGGACAAGTAGGTGGTAATTTATCAGCCATAAAAATTTTCTTTGGTTCAGGTAAAGGTTCTACTGGTTTTCTAAAACGTAATGAACCTGTAGGTGATTGAGCATAACGTATACCTTTGTACAAAAATAGAAAAGAAATCAGAAATAATCATACGAAATTGATGTTTTGTTTAAATGAGCAAATTATTTTATTATTAGGTAATGTAAATGTTTTGGGGCACAGTTTAGGAGGTTTGAGATTTTTTTTAAACATTTGAAATCATCAATCAATCATTGTTAGACCACCATTAGAAACCTGGAAGTACTGGAAGGCCGTTTCGTCCTAGTATGGGACTCATCAGCAGTACGCATCCACGACTCCTACTCCTCGCAGGATTCGAACCCGGGACCTTTGGCATTGCAGGCGAACGCCTAATCATCGGACCACCGGGCCGGCATCCAACGATGATTTAATAGTTTATGTGGTTTTATGAAAAAATCACACTTTTTTTCATTATAGAGTTATGGAGATTGTTGTTTATAACTGAAATCGTGAGCCACTGATTGTTAGACCATCATTAGAAACCTGGAAGCACTGGATGGCTGTTTCGTCCTTTTATGGGGCTCATTAGCGTTAGGAATTCGCACTCAAAACCAAAGGTCCTGAGTTCTAATCCCTTGAGTCGCAGGAATCGTAGATGCACACTGGCACTGATGAGTCCCATACCAGGACGAAATGGCAGTCCAGTGCTTCCAGGTTTCTAATGGTGGTCTAACAATCAGTGATTCATCATTCTAGTAATAAGAAACAACCTCTATAATGAAAAAAAGTGTGATTTTTTCATAAAACCACATAAACTATTAAATCATAGAAAAAATCTGACTATTGCAAATGTATTTTGCTTCGCGTCTTTTATTACACTTAAATTGTCTTTCAACCTAACAAAATGTCAAGCGTACATTAAAATATTTATCTATTCTCATTTGTACGACATGATGCGTTAGAATTTTTCATGTTGGTTTATGTTTACAAAAATTTGAAATCTACAAGTTATTTGTTTAAACCAACATTATATCATTTAGAAAGTATATTTCAACTGGTTTGCGTACAATTCACTAAATTACGTTAGATAACTTGTCAAAATGTCGAAAGATGTAAATGTCAATTGAGATTTCGGATAAAACTTTTTTTAAGTTATAATTAGATACAGTAGAGTTGAAACATTTCAAACTAAAATCCTGATCATACAATAAGATATTATTAAAGAAATCAAAACTGACCAGTTAAAACACGAGGAAATACAAAGTTGAAATCTAAATGAATTAGACCAATCTGGATACAAAAACACTAGTTAATTAAGTGTTTTAGGACAAGTAATAGTTGGATTTCCATGTAGCTAGAGTTCTTACAAGCTTAACTATTAGCATTAGACAAAGTTTATACAAACCAACACAGACTAGTGGTTTCAATTATGAGTTTCCTGATGTCGAAGCTTTGTGAAATACACAGTTCCCCTTTTTTCATAAAGCTTATTCTATTCATGTAGATAAACTTATATGGACTCGAAATCATCAATCAATCATTGTTAGACCACCATTAGAAACCTGGAAGCACTAGACGGCCATTTCGTTCTCGTATGAGACTCATCAGCAGTGCGCATCAACGATTCGAACCCGAGACCTTCGGTATTGTACGTGAACGCCTAAACATCGGACCACTGGGCCGGCATACAACGGTGTTAATGTCTAACTCTGATTGATCTAGGGATTTTGCGCCACCTCACCCATTTGTCTTTGGTAGTTACTGTCTACAACCGATAGTAGTGAACTCCATTGGTCACGTCTTCTCAACTAGAACTCCGAGAATTTCGTGACGAAGCTATTCACTAGTGAGCTCTGTTGCGATATTTTCGGGCAGAGTTTTGGAGGTTTGTGTTTTTACACATTTGAAACCATCAATCAATCATTGTTAGACCACCATTAGAAACCTGGGAGCACTGGTGTTTCAGTTAAAATTTTTAGCAGTGTGACCTATTTATCACGTGTGTTTGAATCAATACCTATTGAATACGAGTGTGTGTGTGAATTTAAACATTAATCAAACGAAGCATCTCTCCTGGATTCCAATGGTACCCAAAATCTAGAAATCAGCAGTGCGCATCCACGATTCCCGCATCTCACCGGATTCGAACTCGGGACCTTCGATATTGTGCTTCCAGGTTTCTAATGGTGGCCTAGCAATGACTGATTGATGATTTCAAATGTGTTCAGAATACTAAGGTATATATATATATACATATATATATATATATATATATATATATATATATATATATATATATAAATTAACAGCATGCAAATGAATCTATTTAAGAATAATTAGGTAACTAACTATTCCATTTTAAACTTATATTATGTAACTGGTTATCAGCATGCAAAATTTGTTTTCAAATACATTATAAATTATTATGAAAAGCCACTACCTGAAAGGCTGAACAGATCAGGTATCATATCTGAATGGAATAATATGTCAGTGACCACAGAATAAAACTCCCGCTCCTCGGACTCACAAAAACTGAAATGATGAGTTGACCAGTGCGTTAAATTAGTGGACTGATTGCAATAAAGGGGTTTTATTTAATATCCATTGATAAAAAGCGGTTACGTAAATAGAGGATCATAATTCTAATGGTGTAACTCGATAGACGGTCACTACATTTAGGCTTACTTCCTTACTTTTGCCTGTAACCCCTAGTGGAGTATAGGCCGTCACCCAGCCTTCTCCAACCTACTCAGTCCTCCGCTTTCCTTTCTAGTTCTATTGAATTGATGTTCATTCTCCACATGTCTGTCTCCATTTCTCATATCTTTCTCTATTTCTCGGCGTAGTGTGTTCTTTGGCCTTCCTCTTTTCCTTTGGCCTTGAGGGTTCCAAGTGAGGGCTTGTCTCGTGACGCAGTTAGGTGCTTTCCGCAATGTGTGTCCTATCCACTTCCACCATTTCTTCCTGATTTCCTCCTCCTCCACTGGAATCTGGTTTGTTCTCTCCCACAGTACGTTGTTGCTGATGGTGTCTGGCCAACAAATCCGAAGTATTTTGTGTAGACAACTGTTAATAAACACTTGTATCTTCTGGATGATGGCTTTGGTAGTTCTCCAAGTTTCCGCTCCATACAGTAGAACTGTCTTCACATTTGTATTGAAAATCCTGACTTTGATGTTGATTGATATTTGTCTGGAGTAATTATTATAAACTACAAACGAATATTATAATCCTATCAATGCGATCTCTTATACTCAGTGAAAAAGATTTTTAAAAAAATAATTGTCAACATAACTTTTCAAAAAAATCTCCGTCAGTAGAACCTTCGGGGCTACTGCCGGTCCCAAGCCCGGGTAAAGGAGGAGGGTTGGACATGGGGTTGACGACCCCATTCCGTCAAAAACTAACTTGCTAAAAAAAACGCTAACTTTTCAAAAAAACAACACATTTACCATAATAAATATCAACCATTGATGCAGGTCCATTAGGCCAATGAACAATTTCCCGCTGACCACAATAGATTCCAACCGATGTATGCACTATTGGATTATCAACTGAACATATTGTTGTTGTTTTATCCCCCAGTGAATCACCATCAGCAGGAGTCGATTGGTTCACAATCACATTTCCAATCGTTGGTGGCGGTGACAGAGATGCTTTATTGACATTTTGTATAGTATTTATTCCGCAGAATAATGTAATGAGGAGATACGATAAACTACAACTATGTATGACATGAAAATGCATGTTTAGTTTTTTTCGGTTTGTAATAATTCCAAATTTTAATTACGCATTTTTCCGGTTCAGTTCATATCAATGATTTTTAATCCCTTCATATCAAAACATAATCATCATCATAGTCAGAAAATTTTATTTTCCCAATTAAACTAACTTCGTGTACAAATCGATTAGTTTGTTGTATGTAGCAAGACACATCAACATCAAGGTGAATGTTGTACAGTGTCTAAGAAAAGTTTACAGAAATTTTTATTAGCACTGTAGGTTAATTTGTTTTTAAAAAAAGCGATTATCTACATATATATATATATATGTAAACTGATTACAAGTTTAAAATAAGCAAAACATGACTATCCTCTTTGCATTTAAACAAATGTTTGTTGTAACAAAAAGGAAAAGGTATTTAGTGTAAAATGTAAAATGAATAGTAGTTTTCGCGGTGTGTGTGTGTGTGTGGTACAACTTCCATGTTTAGTCATGTGTTACATGATCATAAGGACATGAAGAAAATTAGGATGAATAGACTGATTGGTCAGTGATTGATTCCACATTTTAAATGCACGAAAGTTTTAAAAAAAATACTGATATTTGAAATATGTTATTGGTTTTTATTGAATTGAGGTGAAATTTGTAGAATCAGTTTATTTTTTTAACGAGTTAAGACCATGCACTGAAGTGAAGTTTAAGGGAACTATATAAGCAACTGTATTGTAGTGAAGGAGAACACAAGGTGGGGCAACCGAATTATATTTAACGAAAATTACAGAGTTACTCAGTAAAATTGGAAAACCATATCGTAAATCGTTAATTTGCAAAATAACAGTTCATCATATCGAACTGGACTGTTGTTCCTGTTGCAAAACATCAATCCATTGTCACTTGTATTCATGCGTTTCATACAAATTCCATTGTGTTCTAACTCTTCCTTTCTTGATCTTCCACCATCTTCTGCTGCCAGACATTATGTTTACACTCACGTCATATACTACTTATAAGTAGCTCGCACCACAGAATGACATTAGTTCCAATCGTTTTTGTTCTGTCAATGTACCGGAAATCGATGATACGTTTCACATATCTGAGAAGTGGTGACCAACAAACTTGAAAGATTGCTTCTTGACGTGTTCATGACATCAGTTTTAACGGATTTTTAACGGATAAGAATGAACAGAAATCAACCGAACAGGAAGGACAAGATCTTTTGATGACTTTAGTATAAGCGTATGAATTCAAAGATCTGTTCAATTGAACTGTTCACTTTTTTCCTTTTTTAAAAGTATCAAAACGACAAAACAACAAAGCTTTATCTGCCAGCCATTTTGATTTCTAAAAAATTTTTACACATTTGGAATCATCAATCAATCATTGTTAGACCACCATTAGAAACCTGGAAGTACTGGACGGCCGTTTCGTCCTAGTATGGGACTCATCAGCAGTGCGCATCCACGACTCCTGCTCCTTGCAGGATGCCGGCCAAGTGGTCCGATGGTAAGGCGTTTGCCTACAATGCCAAAGGTCCCGGTTTCGAATCCTGCGAGTTGCAGGAGTCGTAGATGCGCACTGCTGATGAGTCCCATACCAGGACGAAACGGCCGTCCAGTGATTCCAGGTTTCTAATGGTGGTCTAACAATGATTGATCGATAATTTCAAATGTGTAAAAACGTAAACCTCCAAAACTGTGCCCCAAAATATTCTACAACATTGAAAAAATAATAAAATGATGGTGCATTACATATTGTTGTTATCATTAAATTGTACTTCAACTATTCAAGTTTCACTTTCTGTTTGGCGTTCAATGTTTCAATCAATAGAGATGAAGTGTAATTACCTCTGTGATTTAGTGAATTTTTATTGGTACATTTAAACCAAGTTTGTATTTCTGTGGTGAATCTATTGTTTTAAAAGGAATACACTACACAGTTTATAGTGTTATTATGATGTTTTATGTGATAATTAGTTGGTAGTGATCACAGTTTTACAAATGACACATTATGATAATCACTTCTCTATTTTCAATTGATTCACTGATCATTAGAAAATAATACACCTGTAATGAATACAATCATGTTTCTTCCTACTTACTTACTTACTTAGGTCCGTTACCCACAATGGATCGAAGGCCACCGACAAGGATTCTACAACCTCCTCTGTCCTGAGATTCCCTTTCTAGTTCTACTCAATTGCTGTTCATTCTTCTCATGTCTGTCTCCATTTCTGTGAGCAATCTATTCTTTAATCTTCCTCTTTTCCTCTGGCCTTGGGGTTTCCAAGTGAGAAGGCTTATCTTGAGTGCTTTCTTCAATGTATGGTCTATCCACTTCCAGCGCTTCTTCCTGATTTCTTCCTCCAATGGAATCTGGTTTGTTTCATCAATAGTAGGTTTTTGATTAAAGTTTCTGGTCAACGAATGTGGAGTGCTTTGTGTAAACAACTGTTAATCAACACATGTATCTTTTGAATGATGCTGTTGTAGCTCTTCAGGTTTTCTCTACATACAATAGAACTATTTTGACGTTCGTATTAAAGATAGTAGGGACTTTGATGTTGGTTGATAGTTGTTTTGAGTTTTAGAAGTATTTCACTTGTAGGAATGTTGCCAAATACACCTGTAATGAAGAAACATTATATTTATCAACAGAACTATAATAAATACAAAAATGTTTCTTTCTACAGTTATCGTTATATATATATAACAGTTAAATAAAGTCGATGAATGAACTTAGAGTAATCACTGGAAAAGTCTGTTATTCAATGGTAATAGTGTCTCTTTCAATTTACAGAAAAGGAAGTTCCAATATCAGGGAAATTATTTTTGTAAAATTAATTAGAAATACAATTACTTATGAATGAACTTTTAATTAGGAAATAGTTGAATAGATTTGTTTTTCAGACTGTAGGGAAGATTTGTAGCTCAAGTGGATGATTATGATGAAGTTTCGTCCTCTAAGCGGAATGTTCCGGTTGTAGAGCTTACATTGTTCTTCTGAGATATATTAGCACAAGCCCCAGGTATAAGTGAAGCATTCGAATTTCTTCATTTCTATCTGAAGTTTGCGTTGATGGTATTTTTCTTGAAGTACACTGAAAGATCCACAAACAAAACAACCAACTTAGAGAATGAAACTCCGTCACAATAAATCTACTTCACTGAATTAATCGTGAATGTAATGCTCACTTATAAAATTATTCACTGTCATCTTTTTATAAGTTTGTAACATGGTATCATATATAATCATTGTTACATTGTGGCGTTAGACTTTCCTTATATTCGATTTCCCGTATACCTCCGTCTTGATGATCGCTACGAGAGAACACGAGTCGTCGCCACAATTTCTTCATTATTCAAATTATTTATTGATCGATACAAATTTCGGATTTAATTGAAATATGTATAGTCGATATTGACATCGAATTATTCAAACTGTTAATCGATCAAGCTAGTCAAATAACTATATGTGTAGGTGGCAAGTACGTGGCCCAAGCGTACATGCGCATACAAGCTCAAAAATGATAAAACTACAAGATATATATGAGGTGCTACGACATTACTACGCCAAGCATCGTTTCGCAAAAATGATAAATGCACTGATAAACGTAAAATAACTACGAACCTTTTTGAAATCTCTTCGTCAAAACATTATGACTACCAACTTTAAATTAATCGAATACAGCACTGTAAACGGTTTGAATACAATACTTACTTACGCCTGTTACCCCCAATGGAGCATAGGACGACCACCGGTTTTCTACAACCAACTTTGTCCTGGCATTGCCTCTACAGTTCTGTCCAATGTTTTTTCATTTCTCTCTTATCTATCTCTATTTCTCGGGACAATGTGTTCCTTGGCCTTCCTCTTTTCCTTTAGCCTTGAGGTTTCCATTTGAGGGCTTGTCTTGTAATGTGTGTTCTATCCACCACTTCCCCCGCTTCTTCCTGCTTTACTCCACCACTGCAATCTGGCTTGTTCTCTCCCACAGTACGTTGTTGCTGATGGTGTCTGGCCAACCAATCCGAAGTATTTTGCGTAGACAACTGTTAATAAACACTTGTATCTTCTGGATGATGGCTTTAGTAGTTCACCAAGTTTCCGCTCCATACAGTAGAACTATCTTGACATTTGTATTGAAAATTGTGATTTTGGTTTCGGTTGATGAATACAATACAGGTGTTGATAAATGAACTTTAAAGAAACATCATACACAGATCTGATCCTCTTTGAGAATCGACTACCGAATTTCGAATTCAGTTCAATGATTTCATCCGTATTACGATCAAATGTTCAGATGATATTATCAGACTTAAAAACTCTCTACAAGCAGCTATTATTCCCGAAGAATGTTTCAATTAAACCAGGAAAATATGAACATAATTACGCGTCGTTCCCATTCACACCTATAAAAATTCAAGTTCGATCTTTAGGCTCAAACTTTTGTGATTATTCTGATCAGTGTTGTGTTCTAGACAGTCAAACTGGATTCAAAAATCTAGTTTATCTAACAAAGGATCTTGTTTAAATGTTTTCGTTCGAATTAAATTATTTTGAAACGAAACAACTGAACGACAGTACGAATGTATTTATCAGAAGAGATAATGTGCAACGTCCCTTACAACCGACCTACGATGGTCCATTTAAAGTAATTAAAAGAAACGACAAAACTATCACAGTTGATAAAGACTGGAGAAACGGATGTAATTAGCATCGACCGAGTCAAACCAACTTTTACTGAAAGTGAGGAACAGCTGATAAGTTCAAATCCTTCGAAAGTCATCGAATCACCGAAATGCGAGTTACAACTATCAGCGATATCAACGCAAAAAGGTGAAGAAAGTCCACAAACGACTAGATATGGACGAAGAGTCAGGTGGCCAGAAAGATATATAGCTACGATTTTGAATTGGTAAGTTCTTTCACCATTTCGAATATAATTCTCTCTTCACTTCGCATTTGTACGCCGAAAATGTTTGTGTATTTCGATTTTTGATTTTCTGTTATTATTCAAGCTCACA